TTTTTGATAGGTTTGTTTTATGTTGAGCATATAACCCATGATGTTTTCCTGGCTATTTATTCACTAGTTTTGACTGTATAATTTAACAATAACTGTTGTGGTAATTCTGTCTAAACATTTTAAGCTAAATTGGTTTCCCGGCTATTTATTCACCAGCTTTGACTGTATAATTTAACAATAACTGTTGTGGTAACTCTGTCTAATTATTATTAGCTAAATTGGTTTGAAATCTGGATATTTTAGACTGGTGACTTCTGAGCATACAAAAGTAACCAAATTGACTATGGTGTTTATTGCAAGGAATTTTGTAAATAGTTTTAGGTTTATGGAGAGACTGTTGCTAACTTTTATTTTATCACTTCAGTCAAATAAAATCCCTTTAAGTTGCCTTAAGTCGCCTTCAGTTGCCTTAACTGACTTGAAGTCGAGTATACCTTGGAGTGAGATGAAAGTTACAGATGATATGGATCAGAAAATCGATATTTGGACTTCTTATTTTAAGAGTGCCCTCGATAAACACTTTCCTATACACAGAAAACGGATGCGACAGAAATCTCATCCCTGGCTTGACAGATCTGTTTTGTAGTTCATGAGGAGACGTTATCAGGTTCATCGTCGAGCTCGAACATCTGGTGATCAGGAAATATGGTTCTTGTCTAAACAACTGAGAAATCGTGTCACCAGTTGTCTTCAAAAACAAAGAAAGGATTATTTTAAAGATCATCTTACCCAAAACAAAGGAAACCCAAAACCTTAAAGTTGGTGTTACCAGGGAAACGGAAGTCATCATGAATCGAGAAGTTGGTGGTTAAAAATTCCACTCTTACAGAACCCAAGTTAATTGCCGATGGTCCTAACCAATACTTTACAGGTATAGCGAAAGCTGTCCTCACAGACTCTGGCAGAGAAAATAATGCCTCTGTAGGTGGTAATGTAAACATACATATCCATCAAGAAAAACAGTTTCAAGCATCGTTTGTGTTCAAATCAGTATCCAACGAACAAGCCTACAAAGCGCTATGTTCACTTAAAAACGGGAAGGCGACTGGAGCCGATGGTATTCCAGTTAAAGCTTTAAAACTAGCGTCGAGGTATATTGCGCCAAGTATAGCCTATTTGTGTAACGAGTCCTTCCGTCTCGGGGTATATCCATCTTCGTGGAAGGTTGCTCGTATTACACCACTCTTCAAAGGCGGTGACGCATCTGATTGCGACAACTTATTTTTAAAATTGTGTACAACTACAAATGTCCCAAACATTTGGTTTCTTATTTGCCAAAACGCTCGAGCCTTTGAACAAGAACATTGAGAGATGAACACCCATTAAATCTTCCACAAGAGAAAACCGCAGTTGGACAAAGTACTTTCAAGTTTTCTGCTGCAAAGGACTGGAACAGACTTCCTCTACACCTAAGGAAACTTAGTGACTTTAATTTATTCAAATCAAATATTTATAATTTTTTATTTCAATGCAATAAGCGTGATCATCATTGTTCTGTTCAATGATATCTAATTTGTTATTCTTTTTTTAACATAGTTTTAACATAGTTCTATCGTATATGTGTATGTATATATATATTTATTAAAAGCTGGATCATTGGATAATGCAATTCAAGACTTATTGGCTCAGCCATTATGGTATATGAGCCAATATACCATAATCTAATTTCTGTACATTGTTAAATCCGGTTTTTTTTCACAAAATAAAGTCGAGAAGATTTGTCTAATATCTTGGGGGCATTTTTTTAATAAAACAATTATTCCACTCTCGCTTGTTGGATATGAGATGATTATAGCCAACTCGGCGCTACGCGCCTCGTTGGCTATCTATCATCTCATATCCAACGCGCGCTCGTGGAATAATTGTTAAATAGCCAACAAGTGGAAGAATTTAGTAGAATTCAATTAGTA